CAGAAAGGGGAAAATTTTTGAACTGTCACACAAATCCAAAAGCCATAAAATAAATTAAAAAATGGTTGCATTTTTTTCAACACAAAAGTATGTGAGTGGTAAACAAACAAAAACAGAAAAGTGACATCAAAAAACAAATGAAGAATAGCAAAAAGATATTGCCAAAATTCATATTACAGACAATGGGCTAAATATAAATTAATAAGAAAGTGAACAGAAAAAAAAAAAATAGGCAAGAGATAGGAGAAGGGAGTCCACAGCAAACAAAATAAAAATGGAAAAAAAAATTCAACTTCATTCACATTAAGAGAAATTCGTATTAACGTTACTCTGAAATAGAATTTTTTAACTATCAGATAGGCAAACTTTGGTTTTCTTTGTTCTTTCTTTCTAAGCGAAAGGCGACCTCATGTTAACACCTTATCATTACCTGCACCCCCACACTTCCGGTGCTCTGTCTACTTAAGCTCCTGGATGCTCCATCTGGATTCCTGCCAACCTTACTGCCAGTCTTGCCTTCTAATCAATTTCTCATACAGCTGCCAAAATAACCTCTCTTATATGTTAATCTGAATTGGTAATCTCTAATTTACTCATTCGTCAACGGCTCCCTTAAAGATAAAATATAAGCTGTATGACCTGGTGCAAAAAGTCCTGGACAGTGGGAGCCATGGCCGCGAGCTCCTGGCACTGGGATGCTGGAATCCCTCTCCATGTTCTGCCCACCTGTGAGCCCTGGAGCGGGCTTCTCCTGACCGTGTAGCCAAGCTCCTCCTTCCGGTCACACTCATCCTGTGGCTGCTGTAGGAGGTCTGCACAGCTCCCTACACGACCTTCACAGGGCACTCTGCACTGATGCTGTCTCCTCATACCACTGGCACACTTTTTTCAGTATATTTATTATCTCCATGCTGAGACCTTCAGAGAGGGCAGAATACCTTGTAACTCTGTATACCCTTTATACATCATCTGTCATTACAACCAGCACAAATAGATTGCAATAAATTTTTAAAGAAGGAAGGAAGGTAGGAGAGAGAGAAGAAAGGAAAGGAGTGAGAGAAGTAGAGAGGGAGAGAGGGAAAAAAAAGAAAAAAATATTCATTAACTCATTAGCATAACCCAATAAATGTTGGGAACTCAAAAGCTGTGGAACAAAAAACAATGAATAAACCAAAGAAATAAACTCACCTATTAATTCACCAGCTCTCGTTTTACACTTATAACAAGTTTGATGCCGCCACCTTGCCTTTATATGAAGCAATAAAGTGTTATTCTGTGAAGAAAATAGTGGTTTAGAGCCAAAACAGAGGTGGGAGTGAGTAGCCCCCAAGGGACATGGCAGTACCTACCTCTACAGGTCATGCTGTTGAACAGGGTCTTGTGGTTGTGCTGGGAAAAACACAGCCTGGGAGAGAGGAGAGAGACGTTTAGCTCTCAGTTATTAAGGGGACTTTATACACAAAACATTCCCCAAATTAAAAATTTTATATATAAGTAATAATTAGTTGTTTAATTAACATTTTGCTGAGGTTGAGGAAAATTCTGCAAAGGAAAAAAAAAACAACACTGTAATGTTTTGGTGGAAGGATACAGCCAGAGAAATGTGTCAATTAGAAGATAAACAGAGGTGGGAGTGAGTAGCCCCCAAGGGACATGGCAGTACCTGCCTCTACAGGTCATGCTGTTGAACAGGGTCTTGTGGTTGTGCTGGGAAAAACACAGCCTGGGAGAGAGGAGAGAGACGTTTAGCTCTCAGTTATTAAGGGGACTTTATACACAAAACATTCCCCAAATTAAAAATTTTATATATAAGTAATAATTAGTTGTTTAATTAACATTTTGCTGAGGTTGAGGAAAATTCTGCAAAGGAAAAAAAAAAACAAAACACTGTAATGTTTTGGTGGAAGGATACAGCCAGAGAAATGTGTCAATTAGAAGATGGTAAGAGAAGAGGACTTAAAAATATACCTGTCACCTGAATCTCACATTCTCTCAGGAGAGTCTTCCAACCTCAACCTGGGCTGAATCCTCAACACATAAGACCTGTGTCATGAGCAGTAGTTGTGGTCAGAGTAAAAGGTTCAAGCAGACCTGGAGACCAGGGTTCAAAATACAATTCCAGCTGCACTTTTTCTTTCTTTCTTTTTCTTTTTTTTTTTTTTTTTGGCTGCTGGTGGGTATGGTTGCACGTATGTATGCTTAATGTCACCAAACTTCAGGTTGCTTATTTGCAAAATGTAGATAATAATTTTCCCTTAGAGGATTAAAAGTGTAAGTTGTAACCTTCCTATGTAAGTGCCATTCATGCAGCATATACTCAACAAAGGCAACTAGAATGATTCTTTCCTCCTTTGCCTTCACACACTGACTTAACTCAGCATACCCACTGTCTTTGCTTATCTCAACTTTAACCTTCCTCCAAAGCACAGCTCATGATCTGCTTTCCCCACTCAACAGCTGTTCAAATTCAAGTGTGCATTATTTCTAAAAGTGAAACCCCCTATTTTCAATCTTGTTCATTTGGCCATTTGGATGTAGTTCCTTTCATTATTTTTACTTGTTCAGTTCTTGAAAGCATGCCATTTCATGTCTGGAAGAGTATGTGTGCATCAATTGAACTCAAATGGGTCCTGAAATCAGTGGGCAAAGCCTATTATTCCTGCACAAACCCAGCACAATTCTGGGCCTGCGGAGACAATCACTCCTTACCTTTAGGATAGAGAGAGCTGGACTTCCTTGGAGAACGCACGTTCAAGGCTGCCCTTGGGCACAGATGCTATTCTACTTTTCTCCCCCTTCACAGATGACAGTAAAGCTCGGCTCAGCAGCAGTCCCCCCTTGGCAACCCTGGGCAGCCTCCTGGATGACCAGCACTGGCACTCGGTCCTCATCGAGCGGGTGGGCAAGCAGGTGAACTTCACCGTGGACAAGCACACACAGCACATCCGGACCAAGGGCGAGGCGGATGCCTTAGACATTGACTATGAGGTGAGTAGACTCTCCCTGAAAATCCCCTGGCCCATTGCTCAAGAGCAGTAAGAAAATCAGTAAACAGAGCAATGGAGAGAATATGGGGGACACTGAGGAATCTTCCCCTCCACCTGTGCCAGACAGTCTGCAAGGGGAGGAGTCCAGCGACAGAATCTGAGCCGTGAGCATCAGGAAATGCCTTGGCAGCGATGAAGTAGCACAGAAGGTGTCAGCTAACTGTGTCAAATCAGCAAGTCTCCTTTTAGATTTCCCCCCCTGTTTCCTGCCTTTGTCTTTGTACAGTCTCTCGGTTACACACAATCACTCTTTTTAAAAACAGAAACGACTTTAATTATCCAGGGTGTTGGAAGATATAGAGATTATAAACAACATCTGTGGGAATTTAGTGAGCCAGGGGGGTACAGTAAGTTGGTGGGCTGGTTGGCTGGCAGATAAGGAAGAAGATCCTACCTTTGGGGAAGAAAATGAAGAAATCGGGTGAGATGCAGAAGGTGGACAGGTAAAAGATAGAAACCTTTTTCTAAAGAATTACGATGTATGATGTATGGGTTTGGGGATGAACAGAATCCTTATCCCAAATCAGTGGATATTTTTGAAGACCTTGTCATAGAGTTCATCACTGACGTGGACAGGTAAAAGATAGAAACCTTTTTCTAAAGAATTACGATGTATGATGTATGGGTTTGGGGACGATCAGAATCCTTATCCCAAATCAGTGGATATTTTTGAAGACCTTGTCATAGAGTTCATCACTGAGATGACTCACAAGGCAATGGCAATTGGAAGACAAGATCAAGGACAAGTTGAAGATGCCATCTTTTTGATTCAAAAGGACCCGAGGAAGTTTGCTAGTGTAAAAGACTTGCTTGAATGAATGAACAATTGAATGAACAATTGAAACAAGCTGGAATAGCATTTGATGAAGCAAACTATGGATTTTGACAACTATTGTATTAAATGAAACTTCATTATCTTCTGGAGAAACTATATATAATAGTTGTATATTTTCTACAATAAGGTTCTGATATTTAGGCATATAAATGAAAGATGGAGAAACACAAAGTTTTCAGCCTTTATTTTCATGTTTTCAATTTTAAAGTGATATTTCAGTGTTTAATTGCCTGCCTTTATATGAGTTACTTATTGGGTTTCAATGACCACACATAAGTTAAAGTACCTTGCGAACCATGCAGTTCCTTCTGACTTTTTACCATCTAAAGGATGAAGTAGTATTTATGTGTTAGGAATATATGTGCCATTGTAAGCAATGATGTAGCTATTTAATATGTGAAATAAAAATAACATCTTTGACTTTATGATAGCTGAGACACGTGCTTCATGCATTCTGAAGTTTTTAGACAATAGTCTGAGAGGTTATTAAAGATAGTGAACTGTTTTTTGTTTCTTTTAAGGGGATGATAATATAAGAAAGTACAGTTTTTTGTAAGAATATCTATCTTAGGTAAATTGTTTTAATATTCTTCAGGTAAAGGAGTGACTTTTTTTTTGAGAATCGAAAATTTCATGTGTATGCTTTTGTGTAGGAAGGCTTTTTTGATTTAAAACCTTTGGGGTTTATAATGTACAATTTGTTAATTTTTAAGAGAGTTCTTCCCCAGATCAGATCAAAGCTTTTAAAAATAAATGTTTCAGTAGCAGGAATGGCATTGCTTAAAAGGCTGATGGCAAGATAAGCGTTTGGAGTAGTGTTTTATTAATATATTTGTAAATACTTGTTCATTGTGGAAATGTGTACCTGACTAATGCCATGTGTGGCTATGGAAACCACTTTTGTAGTTCAGGATATACAGGTTTTGTGGGTTATTTAGCTTATTGTATTAAATTACTATTGCACTTAGCTTAAAATAAGGATTAAAAGTACATTTAAAGACATCATAGAACATTACTCTTTGTGAAACTGAACTTTTTTGTGTGCCACTTGCAAACATTATCTATAAATCAGTATTTGGAAAAATTTTACTTTCTTAACATTTTTATACAAGGAATAAAATAAGAAAAACAGAAAAAGAAATCTATAGGAATTTAAAACCTGCACTATAGTCACTAGTCTTTAGCTATCATTCTGACTCAGACCTTTGACTAATACGAGTGAGAGCTGTTTCTCTTCTGCTCTCTTGTAGCAGAGGCACAGAGAAATGCACCAACTCTGCAGTACACAGAAGGTTGCACGAAGCTCTGCAAACTGGCAGGCAAGCATTAACCATCTTTGCTAGTGGTTCAGTTCAAGAAGTACATATTATGCCACTACTCTACATCAGGCTTTGTGCTGGGCAATAAATATACAGTTTGACTGAGGCAGAGCTCCTGAGATGGAGAAGCTTACAGTCTGATAGCTGAGATAAGCCACTGCAGAACAAGGAGGTGAGTGCTGCAGAGAAGAGAGGCCCTGAGCACTAGGGCTGAGAATATAGAAATTACATATTTATATAATAATATACTTATATAATTTATATGTTATTATTATATACAATCATATATTCATATAACATATACTTTAATTACATATAAGCTATATATAATCATGTATTTACATAAAAGAAAGGACACTTGGCTCAACCTAGAAAAATGGAAGAAAGTTTCCAGCAGGTGATGCTGGTATGTTTTGAAAGAAGAATAAGATCAGCTGGTGCAGAAGGTCAGAAGGGCATTCCAAGGCAAAGTTCATGAACTATCAAATAGTCCAGCATTTAGGGAGTTTAAAACAATAGGCCAGGAGTGGTGTATTGGAGTCAGCTTTTATCGATTCATGAATATTAAATGTTAGACTTTTAGGACTCTTATCAGCTGGCTGGTAAATATAGTCATTACTAAAAATTAAGTTACGTAAACTTGCAATTAAAGTATTTCTAACAGATAATAAACTTATTGAGTCTTAATTATTTTACCGTGTTACATCTATCTGGCTATCTATCTATCACCTATCTGGTATATGAGCTCTTGAGGTTTATCATGTATATTCTATCTGTGTGGTAAAAATACTCTATATAGGGCTGCTACAGCACTTTTCCCAATTCCATGTTCAGTGATATCCCTTTGTAACCTGAAATCCACCATAGTGGAAGTATTCACACCATAGATTTTGACAAACAATGTGAATCAGGGTTTGATTTATTGTTTTGTGCATTGTCTGTACCACAGGTCAGCAAACTACAAGTTTGGCTTGTAGCCTGTGTTTCTGTGGCTTGTGGATTAATACTAATTTTAACATTTTTAAAGGTTTGTAAAAGAAATAAAGGAATAAAATAAGAATATGAGACATACTGTACGTGACTACAGATAAAAGAGTTCAGAAAAAAATCAGCAAAAGCATTCTATAAGAATCAAGTGGTTATATGACATTTTCAATAAAGATTTTTGTACATTTTATTATTTTTTGTAAATTGCATGCTACACATTGCTTATATCAGTAAAATAATCTTACACTTGTATATACACACATGCACACGTACACACATACATATGTCTGTGCCTGTGTCCCACCCTGGATACCTAGTTTTTAAACCTTTATCAACACACCACTAGAGACACGAAATAGAGATAAAACACAGGAATTAGGCCAGGACCAGGTGATGGAGATGGAGGGGCATGTGACCATGTTGAAGAACCAAAATGACAAGAGATGAGGAGCCACTAAAGGATTTTTTGCAGGAGAGTGACATGAGTGGTTTTATGTTTTAGACTAGTAATTCTAAATGTATGGTTCAATAATTCTAAATATATGATTAGTATCCCATGAAAAGTTGTTAAAAATGAAAATACTCAAGCCCCACCCAGACCTACCGAATTAGTTACTCTGGGAGATGGTCTCAGCAATGTGCTCTTAGAAGTCCTCCAGGTGATTCTGAGGCTCCCTGAGGACTGAATATGAAAAGTTGTTAAAAATGAAAATACTCAAGCCCCACCCAGACCTACCGAATTAGTAACTCTGGGACATGGTCTCAGCAATGTGCTCTTAGAAGTCCTCCAGGTGATTCTGAGGCTCCCTGAGGACTGAGCACCACTGTTTTAGAGCAGTCACCCTGGAGGTTATGTGTAGCTTGGACTAGTAGGTGGGTAGAGGGAAGGGGCTGCTGGACAGAAATAAGAAACCCTCTTAGGAGACAGTTTCAATCACTAGTGAGATAGATAATAGCAGAGTGGAGGTGGAGACGAATAATCGAAAAATTAGAAGCCGCCTTTCTTTTTAAATCACTGTTATGTGCTGTAAGAAAGATCTCTTCTTTTGATCCTAACCTTAGTTTAGTATACTGTGGATAAGATAGGCCATTCATTAACTTCAAAAACTAAGTTGTCTTTATTTGACTCAAAATTCAAGATAACAGGGAGATTTTTCTGAGTTGTTGAAAACTGGAAATCTGTGAATATCAATCGCTCTTCTTTGTCAACTTGTTTAATTGATTGAAAAAACAAAGAGCATGCACAATATTGGAGTTGCCTCAAAGCAAAGAGATATCTTTTATGACCTTGAAGACAACAACAAAAACCCATAAAATCAATTTTAAGTCTCGCCATTTCCCCAAATACTTTCCCTCTAATGTCCTAGGATTTCATTCTAAAAGGCACCCTGTTGCCTGATTTAACATTTATTTGCAAAACTATGTCTGCCTACCTATGGTCTCTTGTGTACGTACGGACTCCCTATGAGATCGCAGCTGAATGACATTAAAGTGAATGCCAGCATTTAGAGAAATGCAATGCAATGATATCACTCACTTTATGAAGTTGGCACCGATTTCTTCAGGGCATGCACAAATTTCTTGGTGCCTTATAAAAAGTGTTCCCTAGAAAAGAAACACCTTGAAATGTTTCTCTGAAGCAATCTCTGCTTCAGGGAAGTCAAGCCTTTTCCAGATTATGCAGTCAGCTTACTCAAATAATCATAAAAGAAGACAGATTGACTTAACATTGGTGTTAGATGTTGGCTATACTGGAAAACAAGAGTTATGTGTCAGGAGAAGTTTCCAGCCTTTGAAGAT